AATTTATTTGTTTTTGATTAATGGCGTTTTGTGGGCGTGGCAGTTGTCCGATTACGCCCATCTGCAATACCAATCGTCTTACGGTACCAAGAAACATGTGTACCTAGTTTCATAAAGATATCTCAATTTTTACTCAAGTTACAGCTTGCACAGACGGACGGACGGACAGACAGTCACCCGGATTTCAGCTCGTCTCATCATCCTGATCATTTTTATATATATAACCCTATATCTATTTCAATTAGTTTGAGGTGATACAAACAACCGTTAGGTGAACAAAACTATTACACTCTGTAGCAATATGTTGCAAGAGTATACAAACGTATACATCTTAAAATTTCGACCTTTTGAATTTGTCTAACATTCAGTAATAAATATTTTATTAAATATCGTAATTTACTCGAACATTCTAGTAATGTCGTACTCAGTACTCATTTAACCAACCCAAGAGCGTATCACTAATTCAACACTCTTTTATGCACCAGGTTTCTGATTACTTTATGTACCAATAAAATGTGTTCTCACAAAAATCATGAGTAATGAAACATTTTTCATAAAGAGCCAGGATGAAGTATTTTTGCTGATTAAGACCATAACTCACTATCACTATGAGTAAGAGTTTAACATGAGTGCTTCTCAAAATCTAAAAAGCCGGTTATAAGTTGAACGGTAATTATTATGCGTTTTAGCTACGGTACAATCGGGTTACAAAAGTGTAATGCGGCCTATTGAGCTACATTATATTCGCCCACTTATGAATTCAGCGATCAGCTGTTCGAATTGTGTTCATTAATTTATTACGCGGAAAGTTATATGCGTCTGATGCCACAGGTGGTTTCTTGATTTTTATAGCTTAATTCTCTCTGTCAAGAATTTAGTTTGATGAGTGTTAGATAAAAGTACTTAGTATCTTGATTATCTGAACTAAACTTGAAAGGGAATCGTTTAAGCTGTTAACGCTGATGGCTTGTAATTCTCAAAACTCCTAGATTTGAATAACAAGATTCTTATAGATATTGCGCTCCATTCTGGGCTAGAAGGATCTGGCAGGAGCACAAGTTTTGGTTGTTGACTTACGCTTGCCAAACTAACGGGAGGTTCATACATCCAACACTAGAGCGCAAGAAGATCCAATTTTATAAAATTGAGGTAAGGGTGCCACCTCTAGCATGCTCATCGGTTTCCAAAAATTGCGCTGAGACTCGGCACCCATAACAAGGCAGCTTGATGCTACTGATAAAGATATCAAACACTACTTGACTAGTCTTGTCAGCGAACTCAAGGTTAGTATCGCCACTCTACTATCAATGCTTATGCACACCTTTTTGAAGGAAACTGCACTTCGGACCAGTACATGATTTGATGCCGCCTCCCTTGAAAAACATTGTAGCCCTTGTTGCACTTGGCACAAGACTCCTCCTGCCACCTTCGCTATGAGAAGGATCCGCGCAGTGGTCCAGTTGTTAGGTCGAAGTAGCTGAGGATTTCAGAATGTACTTCAAACAAATCGGATAAGATAAGGACATCGCGGACATTCAGTCCATCACTTTATTTATTTTCAAATTGATAATTCAATTGTTATAAAACAAGAAAAAACGTTAACTTCGTTTGCAGCGAAGCAAAAATACCCTCCACAGATACAAAGGTTCTTTACAATAACTTGATTCCGATCTAATTTCGTGAAGATGCCTCGTCAAATAAAAAAGTTTTCCATGCAGGCACTTGACACGAAATTTCGTGGAAATAAAAAAGTTTCCCATATAAGGACTTGCCTCCGATTTTTCAGTTTGTATGGCAGCTATTTGCTATAGTGGTCCGATATCGGCCGTGAGCAGCTTCTTAGTGAAAAAAGGACAGGTGTAAAATTTCAGATCGATAGCTTAAAAACTCAGGGACTAGTTTGCATATATACAGACGGATGGACGGACGGACATACAGACGGACATGGCTAAATCAACTGAGCTCATCATGCTGATCATTTATGTATATATGTTATAGAGTCTCCGACGTTTCCTTCTTGGGGTTACAAACTTCGTGGCAATTATTAACCTTCCTAGAGACAAACTCCGTCTCCTTGTCGCGCTCTACACTGGGCACTGCAGGCTCAAGAAGCACCTATCAAACATGGGCTTAGCTTCTTGTGGNCGGGGAGTAACACAACCTTATTTTTGTGACATAGCAAAGTAGTTCGTAGTAAATGAACCTGTACTTACAACATGTAAGGAAGGGCTAAGTACGGATGTAACCCAACATTTTATACTCTCGCGAAGTTAAATGGAATACTCGTTTAAGATTTCTTTATATATTTTAATAATTAAAAGTAAGAACTGTTGCCTCAGTTATTTACATTCACAGCGAAATTAATTAGAGCAATTTGTAAACCAAATTTACTCACATTATGAGATACCTTGTTATGAGTAAAACACGCTCTCTCATTTTCATTGAGATAACTCACATATTTGCCGATATATACGGTACAAAGTCAAGCGGAAGTTCAAAAATCTTTATATTAGGTATATGAGATCTATAGGAAGTATTGATCCGATTCAACTAATTTTTGACACAAAAAAATTGTATTATCGAGAGTTTCATTTAATTATTTTATTATATAAATTACAATTATATATCTTACACATTGACCTATATTCGGTAAATAAAAAGTAAACTATAGACACTGGGGTCCACATATTCAGTACCTTGAGGCTTGAACAGTTTTGATTCGATTTAGATACAGACGCACGGACGGACAGACAGTCACCCAAATTTCAACTCGTCTCTCTAACCTGATCATTTATATGTATATAACCCTATATCTAACTCGATTAGCTTTAGGTGATACAAACAACCGTTAGGTGAAAAAAACAATTATACTCTATAGTAACATGTTGCGAAGGTATAAAAATAACATACCTCTTACAACCCTGTATACTATTCTTGAACTTTCTTTCTTTGTAATATGCATGCATTGTAATGCTTTTGCACACATTTCATCAAGGTCAATCGTTGATATATCCTCGAAACATTAGGTTATGAGCCCAGGACCCATAAGATAAAGTAAAGTTTATTTTTCGGTGAAAAGTTCAATTGTTCCTTTAAGTATTATACCTGGTGCTATTACGATCACGGCGCTAAACGCGAAAAATTATGACTCGTGGAAATTACAAATGCAAGCTATTTTGATTAAAAACGACCTGTGGGAATATGCCGACGGCATGACATGCGCCCCACAGATGAGGCAATTATGATGCAACAGTATTAAAAGACGAACGAATTGATAATTTCTGTTATTTAAAAACTTTTTTCGCGAATTTGACAACTACAAAAAAGAGCGTTGATTGGCATTACAGAATGGGACATATTAACAATGCAAAAGTCAAACGTGCTTGATGTTTTCAAACAATATTAAGCGTAAGTCGAAACACGGGTTACTGAAAAGAAAATTAAAGCGTTGCAATCCGACAATGGCCACAAATATTGTAACGATTAATTTGACAAATTTTTAAATGAATGCGGAATTAAATGCCGTCTTACGACTCCGTAGCAGCAAAACGGTGGAACGTGAAAAATATAACTCTTGTTGAGATGGCCAGGTTTATGATGAAGCATGCGGTTGCGCCTTCTTCATTTTAGGCTGAAGCGGTGAATACGGCGTGTTACATTCGAAATCGATGTGTAACAAGAACAGCGGGAGAAGTGCCGAAATCCGAAAATCTCGTATATGCAAATATTTGGTACGAAAGTGTTTGAACTTAATAAACATTTTGCAAAAGAAAAGTTTGACTCCTTCGAATTATATTTAGCTTCGCGACAAACGGTTTTTTTAAATAAATAGACGAATATTTTGATTAGCAGCGAACTATCGCTGAAGAATGTAGAAATCAGACTGACTTAATTGAATAATATTTCTTACAACGAAAGTTCATAATTTACTCAACTTTAAATAAATTTACAAAGAATGCTTATTAAGTGATTTAGTTATTGAATTTCACAATTGTTTAATAATTCAATAAATTGGTACAGAATATAATTTTGTTTTGTTCAATTTATTATATTTATAATAATGTCAAGTGGCAGGAAATGGTCTAAAATTACATATACTTTGTATTAATTCATTTATGCTACATTACAATGTATTAACCCATTTATTAGTAAAATCTTTAAGTATCCGCACTTTGTACACACATTATATGAAAATTCTTGTTTACATTCTTTCATTTATTGTAGCAATGAATTCATCTAAATCGTCAGCATTTTTGTTTATTGGTTTTGAAGTGGCTATATAATTATCGGCAAGTTTGTATATGGGATTTGGGTTGGAAGTGTTTGTATATGTAAGTACTAGTAAGTACATCAACTTCTTTGGAAAATAACCAAATTTATTGATTTATTATTTTGATCATTTCATCATAGTCCTCTTTATATATAATATATGATCGAGGTGTAAATTTTTTATTTTTTAATTCACCATTTACTGGTTCAAATGAGCAGATTTTTGTTACGGCATAAGGTTTATTTATGAAATTCTCTAATTTATCATTTAAAATTATATAACCTTTTTCAAAATCTATTAATGCACTTAGACTACTTAGTAACCCTGCACCTATAATGAACTGATATGAACGGTTGGCTAGTCTTCTGACTTTCCACCTGAACCGACATCCTTCTGGAAGTCGTAACTCCTTTGGAGCATGGGTATGCACTTAAAAATGAATAGTGTCCTTACCCGTAATGGTTGTAAAATAAATTGGTTTTATCGCAATCTTTTTAAAATCATTTATTTTTTCGTCTATTATACTAAGTGAAGCGCCTGTATCAATTAAAGCTACATATTTATTTGTTTCTATCGTAATTTGAATTTTTCGGTAAATCATCCAAGGCTAGTTCTGAAAAAAATGTTATTTATTTCAGAAAATCCTGTCGTTTCGTATCGGCTACTTTCTATTGTGTCAATTTCCATAGGCTCAGCCTGTCCTTGCCTAGGCCAATTCAAACGATTTTGTCCTGAATACTGTCTACGAAAAAATTATTATTTCAAAATTGTCCTAAGTTCTGAGGTTGCGTTATTTGATTGGAATTATTTCTATGATCATTACGTTCATAATTGTTATTTCGATTATATTGCATCTGTTGTTGATTATAATTAGTTCTGAGGTTGAAAGGTCTGTCTTCATTTGGTCGCGGTTGATATCTATTTCGATCTAACGTTTTTGTTGTTCACTTTATCGTCCTTAGTTCTATTATATTTCCTACATTCTGGTCTGACGCAACTATCCTCATATCTTCTTCTCGTCATTAATTCCAAAATTCTTCCTAAGTCGTGTTCGTCATAAATTTTATCAAATAGTGTTTCTTGTGTCATTTCTTTAATAGTGTTCACTAATAAATTGTCCGTGTTGCTTAAGTCAATACAGCCATTACCCTCATAATATACGATTAATTCATCACTCTTATATTTAATACTTGTATTTTGTATATCTATAGCTAGCTCACTTACATTGTTTGCATGAATACTTGCTATCCTTCGCTATATTTGGTGTGGTTCGGTGTCTGGTCTATATCTTAGTTCTAATGTAGTTTTGATTTGCCGCCAGTTATCAGGATCCTGGATTCTCCTTGTATATTGCTGTAGTAAATCGTCCGCACTGCTTCCCTTCTCATCTCCTCGTTTGATATTGTCGACAGTAAATACTCAACGCCTTTAAAAAAATTAGTTCACTGTGATGCCCCCTGCTCCTGTGAATATTGGCATGTGTCCTATGTTTTTTTAATATTTGGTCCCGTCTCCTGTTGTTGTCCTCTATACTGCTGCTGCTCCAGCTGTTGTTCTCTTCTAGCCAGCTGCTCCACCAAGTCCACCGGTGCCATTTTTTGAGCATGTTCCTTCTTTTAGCAAACGCCTTTTGTCTTGATGACCGAATGTTGCTGCTTGTGGGTGGTGTTCACTTCTATGTTCACTGCACTGCCACTTATTTGATTTTTGTCGTGGTGTTCACTTCTGTGTTCACTGCACTATTACTTTATTTGTTTTGTGTCGCGGTTTTTTGTTTTGTTTTGTTGTGGTGGCTGCCCTTTTTTCTATTGACATAATAACACTGCACAAAAATTATTTTGTGGTGTTAATTATTCATAACAAGGACTGCTGCACAATTTAAAGTAATTTATTACTTATTAATTAATTATATTCTGGAGGGTCCGGTCAAGGTCTTATCCTTGGCTGCGGAATTGCAGAACTATTTTTGGGTATTATATGTAAAACCTAATATTAATATTTTTTTTTTGCGAAGGGCTCGTTTCACTGGATCCTTTAATATTTTTGTTCACTAGGATCCCACCGACTGCGCCAATTATATTTAGCGTCGCGACAATATTTTTGTTTTTTAATAAATAAACGAATATTTTGATTAGCAGCGAACTATCGCTGAAGAATGTAGAAATCAGACTAACTTTATTGAATAATATTTGTTACAACGAAAGTTCATAGTTTACTCAACTTGAAATAAATTTACAAAGAATGCTTATTAAGTGATTCGGTTATTGAATTTCACAATTTTTTATCAATTCAAAGAATTGGTACAGAATATAGCTTTGTTTTTAATATTTAATATTGTATTAATTCATTTATGCTACATTACAGTGTATTAACCCTTTTATTAGTGAAATCTTTAAGTATCCGCACTTTGTACATACATTGTATGAAAACTCTTGTTTACATTCTTTTATTTATTGTAGGAATGAATTCACCTATATCGTCAGCATTTTTGTTTAATGATTTTGAAGTGGCTATATAATTATCGACAAGTTTGTATATGGGATTTGGGTTGGTAGTGTTTGCATATGTAAATTGCGCGGAGCCACGTTGGCTGCTCAGGCGAATCAAAGGCATACCGGTTATACTCAAAGACTAAAAAGCGTGTTATTATAAATCGCGATGTGAAGTTTATCGTCAAATCTGGTTTTCATGGAACATTTGACAGCATTGAGCATGAAAATGAAAAAGACATTGAAAACAAAAATAAAAAGGACGTAATGGTTAAAAATAACAAAATAGCGCGGTTGTGAATAGTAACGAAAATCTTGGACGTCAATCAGGGCTTGGCCACCATCTGGGCCGCTTCCCCGAGCTTTGACCACGACCGTTTGCGCTCGATGTTGTCATAAGTGACTCATTTTTCATCGCCAGTCACAATCCGCTTCAGAAACGGGTCGATTCTGCAGCGATTTGCAGATGGAAATTCGGTCCATCATGTTTTTTGCGTTAGTTCGTGTGACACCCAAACATCGAGCTTGGTTTCGAATCCAAGGTTATGCAAATGGTTCCCAACGGTTTTCTGGCTTATCTTTAGTTCCTCAGCAATTAAATAAGTGCTCACGTGACGGTCTGTTTCCACTATTTCCATGATTTTATCGCAAATTTCGACGCGTGGTGCATCTTTGACATCGAAATTACCGGAACGGAACCCAGCAAATCACTTTTGTGTTACACGTTCGCTTACAGTATCGGGCCCATAAACTAAATTAATGTTTTCAGCCACTTTGCCTGCTTTTTCGCTTTGATCGAAGAAAAATTGTAAAATATAGCGAATTTTCTCTTTGTTTGTGTCCATCTTTGACGAGCGCTCACAACGAACTGAGTAAATCAATCGAAAAACTGTCAAAGACAAACTTTTAGCACGAATAAACTCGTTTTTAGCGCCGTATAGTATGACATGATGCGACACGTAACACTAGTACTATGGACAATAACGCCATCTCTTAGATAAAAACCGAACGAACTTTTTACTTGAACTAATATCTTGTTTACTAGCGATATGCCTACGCCGGCAAACAGCACAATTGCCGCATTTGTCAATGATACCTGCATCATTACGACCGGCAAAAATGAAGTAAAATCGTTCAACAGAATGCAAACCTTAATTAACCAAATAGTGGAAAGGACACAGAGATGGTGCATAACCTTAAACGAGATGAAGTCAATACAGGTAAACTACACTAACAAAAAGATTAGACTTATTCCCTTATATATTCGAAATGAAGTAATCCCATGCTCCATCTCGGCGAATTATCTTTGCATGACGCTGGAGGCAAAGCTGAACTGGAAAGAGCACACACATAAAAAAAATCGTACAGTACAGTAAACGTGATAGAAGTGAATACTTCTTTACCGATTCATTGAGAGTGAGCGTGAGAGAATAAAAGAGAGGGAAAGAGAAAGAGAGAGTTGTATTGTACGTATTACAGGGATAATCGAAATAATAAGATGTGGTATGTATACCAATTTAATATATAATTTATTCCTTCAATTTGTACATTATCTATCACTCGGAGCAGGTATAAATATAGCGGATATTATGGCTATACGGTAAATGAAGTATGAAACAGTTTAAATAGTGTAGATTTATGAAGAATAGAGAATCAATCGTTATTCCTGATTTAGTCGTGGCAATTTTTCGGTCGTTATTCATGTATGAATCAAAGTTTTCTCGAAGCAAGTGAAGTAGGGGCAAGGACGCACCCTCCGAAAATTTGAAATTAAAGTCACCACCGAGAATTAATGGTAAGTGATCATTACCCCTGCCGAGGAGAGCAGCATCGCCATGAGTTTACATAATTCATGAAATACATGATCTTCTCAAGTTTTTTTTGGTTATGAGATATATAGATCATGATGCGATGCCATCATTGTGGCAACACTTCAAGCTCTTAAGCTGTAATTTTTTAGCTGTGTACATTTGTGTTTTTATTTTAAAAAATTCTTGAAGTTTAATTGATTTTTATTACCGTGTTAATAGAAATTTTTAGTGATTAAACTCTCAGTTTCATGATAAGTATTTAATGTTCTGTTTTGTGCGGTATTAAAAAGTTGAAACTTTCCAATTTTTGGTGCCGAGTCAGCCTTTTGTTTCATTTTGTTTTATTTTATTCTATTTTCTCACTTTGTTTATCTTATTTACTTCTTTATTCACAGCTGTGTTGCGTTTAGCTTTTTATTTGTTACAGTGCTTCTAAAACTGCTCGCTATATTGCTTCTTCAAATTGTCTTGGTTTTAAACTTTGATGCTAAAAATTGTCGTTAATTGAAATTCTTTATTATTTATTTTATTACACACTAATTTATTATTTATCTATTAAATTTTGTTCTACCTACTCTTTTATTTGATCTTCATTCTTGTGGTTTATTATGTCTTGTAACTTCCCCAATTGTACATTAAGGCGAGTCAGATCGCCACCGTTTAATGCTGGTTGTGATGGGTCTTCCTATAAATGTGCTGGACTGACTAGTAGAATCTTAGATTCTATTATCGACTGTAAGGATTGCGTAGGTCCTGTTTAAATTGTAGATCTACTTGAAATCGATCTATTTAAAGTTTATAGGGAGACACGCAATGCTTTTTACGAAATCAGGTCGTGATCTGAAAATCCTCACTGAAAATTTAGGCATGAAAAATTGTTCAAATTTTAATACCGGAATGATTCTCGAATCCTCTAAACCGTTGCTCCAAGCGAAACGTCCTTCCGATGACAGTAACATTAGTTCTTCTGTTCAGAAAGAACGTCTCCTCCAATGACCTAATAAATTCTCTTTCTTGCCCTCAAGGTGATAAGACTCAACTTCCAAAGTATCATCCCAAAAGCTCTATCTAATAGTAATAGTGTCTCACAATTCAGAGGCTTCCCTAATAATTTAGTAGCATCAGTTAATAATGATAGTTATTCCACCTAAAAGTCTATATTTATTTCGAGACTTGCCAAAGATACCCTTGGTGGAGGACATTAAATCTTACATTTCGTCACGTTTAAAAATCGATGATATCAATTGTAAATTTAACTTCAATTATGATAGAAGTATATCATCGTTAAATAGAGTTATCTCTTGAAACATTCAAAGATCTTGATAGTCATTTCTGGCCAACCTGGGACTTTTGTAGCTAATTTAAACCTAAACTTAAGTCAAACTGAGGAAAACATTGTTAAATTACCAAAAGCAACCACCGATATAAAACTGATTGGTAGAAATTCGCTAAGTATTTATTATCAAAATGTTAGATGTCTTATACAAAATTAATTGACTTGTATTTGAACAGTTCCTTAATTTTATATATTGGATTTAAGAAGCTTGGTTAAAACCTCACATTTTGATAATGAGATTTTAAACAGCGAATTTCAATTTTTAGGTGTGATCGACTGAACAGAATCGGTGGAGGTGTTCTATTTGCCGTGCATTCCTCTAACCATCTGAAATATTCTTGTTTCGGGACCGACTCATTTGAATTTAATGTATTAGAGCTACGTTAATAGTTGTTATTTATTTAACATCTTTATATACCATCCATTCGGACTTATCTGTATACATGCAGCATGCTTCTTTAATAAATAGTGCTACCTCGATGGAAAATAATGCAGATTCAATAATGTTAGTGATTTTAATTTCCGTGTGCTTCGTGGAACCTTTCGATGACTATATCTGCGATTTGCAATCGGTCATGTTTAATGAGTTTTTCGAAAATGTCCGAGTTGTCTGAACCAAATTAATTTGATTCCGAATAAATTTGAAAATGCCTTTTAGATTTAGTATACGGATAACCTCTGCAAGTGTTCCGTTATTCAATAAATCCCTTGTTCTACCAGAGGACTTATATCATCCTAGTTTGAAATATCTGTCGAAACTGGCATTGTACGGGATAACTAATCATCAAACCTTGTACCCATATCAAAAACCTTACCTCGATTTTAAGCGGGATGACGGGTGCGAGTCATCCTGAAAGATGGCCTCGAAGTATGCCCATATTGGTCTTCTGTAGCGGATTCTATGCGCCTTTTCATCACACCGTCAAATAAGGTATAGGACCTGTATATAGGAGAAAAGCGACTCCTAGACCCATTTGATTTTCAGGATGCTACCGATCTCACCACACACCATTTCTTAAATCGTTCTCCGCAACATGTCGACATACTGGTAAGTTGTCGGGTACAGTGAAATTAAATCTGCTCACATCTGTCCATATTACCGTTTTTTCATTTCTGTAAAGACCAGCTCTGGTGGATTCTTGCCCATTATAAACCGCTTGTTCTCATCCTTCGTAGTAAGAGTGGGATCTTTTGCTGACCTCCTTCCACTTAAACACGTACTTTGTAGTCTCCTGCCGTTCAATTTCTGTGAACTAATTGTTACTGATGTTGATTTCCAGGTCCTTTTTAATTTGTATGAAGTTCCTGAAGTGATTCTCTAATTAATCCTATGAAGAATATTATCTGCACCAGGACGACGTCTTCCTCCTGCTATCAATCCTACTCGAACGCTCCAAACGATCGTCCTGGTTTTTTTTCTTCAGTAAATGTATTACTGTTGTTGTTGTTGTAACGGTTACCTAGTCCCCATTTGAGGGATATGTTAAAGTTTGCTTGACGTCGAGGTCATTTAGCTGGAGCCCTAGAAAACTGAGCTGTTTCTGGACGGTTCAGACCAATAGGGAAAGGGTGTTAGATGAGTGGGGTTCGTTGGGCATGGCAAAAAGGTGGTTAGTCTCATGCGGAGACTTATTAACGCAGACATGTATTTCGTATTTCGGGGTCTATTCTGGATAAGAGGAGTTTAACCTGCTACAATATCCAGAACCGAAGTGGTGCGCGAGAGTCACTCGTTTCCGAGGCATACCTCGAGGCCTACTTCTGGCTTGGGTGGTGGTTTGACTCGCTACATACGCCATTCACTGAAAGGAGTCATTGAAGGTGTGATGCTCCACTGTGAATGGCGGTCAGTGCCTTTCGAAGTTTGCTGCGTCCGAGTCCAATCGGCGTACTGGTCTAATGTCGTCGACGTAATAGAAAGATCCTCTTGATGTCCTTGGAGGTTCCGCTAACAGACAACTGCAGGGTGGTTTTCCTAAGAAAATTATCGTTCCTAACCGGAAGCATACGGGCTTCACTGTGTCAGGTGTTCGATTGGGTGGCATCAAGAGGCATCCGTTTGATAGTGCCGGAGTGCAGTGTTCTGACAGGTCAAGATTCATTGTCGTAGCACTACATCCCAGGGACCATATTGGGGCCTGCATAGTTAGGACTGGCCGCGATTGCCATGGCTATGTTGCCAGCAACGTTTCTTTGTCTTTCGTGCAAACGCCGGCAAGCGGTTTGAGGATTTTGTTGTGGCTCTGTACTTTGGCAGTTACCACGGTCGTGTGAGGAGTGAAAGCAGTAAGCACTGTCTATCAAAGTCTAAAATTTTAGGTTATTTACTGTCGGAATTTTTGTCATCGACTGAAATGTCTAGATCCAGCTCCTGTACTCCTTCGTCAGTTTCGTAAAATGGTCGCTGTGGATTTGTGGAGAGTGTCAATCTCTTGCAGAGAAGAAGCGAGACAGATCGGAGAGATAGCCGTTTATTCCATCGATTCCGATGCCCGACGTCAATATCGTGCAGTCATCAGCGTATGAGGTCACGGAAATTCCCTCTGGTGGTTGGGTGAGTTTCGAGATGTAGAAGTTAAACAGTAGTGGGGAGAGGAATCCACCCTACGGAACCCCCTGTTTTATTCTTCTAAGTTTGGAGTTTGGGCCTCGAAACAGTACGGATGAATGCCGACCGCTCAGGTAGTTCATGGTCCACCGCTTCAGCCCTGGAGGGAGCGTAGATTATTCGATGTCCTCAAGTAGCGTTGTGTGGTTGACTGTGTCAAAGGCTTTCGAAAAGTTCAACGTTACGACTATGGCCCTCTCGCAGGGTGGCTTCTAGTTTAGGTCATGAACTATCTTAGCGTTTACGCCGCTAAGTGCTGTGGTGGTGCTGTGCACTTTTCGGAAGCCATGCTGATGTTCTGCTAGACTCAGGTGGTGAGTGAATGTCGGGAGTAGCAAGACCGCAAGTGTCTTCACTACTGGGGAAAGGAGAGTTGTCGGGCGATAAGACTAAGCTTTGTTGGCGGGTTTCCCAGGTTTCAGTAGTGGGACCACTCTTCCGACTTTCCACGCATCGGGTATTTGAAGAGTGGTCATCGACAAGTTGAGGACCTTGGTGAGGTAGCTTACTTCCGTCGAGCCTGGATGTTTTAGCAACAGCATGCTTTTCCGTCAAGGCCAATGCATTTAGACGCTTTGGCTTTATGATGGCACTCTGAACTACCTCATTGGTGCAAGTAAGTGGCGCGCAGTCTTTTGGCAGTTTGCGCCGCTGTCGGGTAACATATTTTTTGACCTTGTCGGTGGAAGGGTGCAGTGTAAACTGGCGGCTAAAAAAGCTCGCGCACTTCTTCGGGTCTGAGGAGGGATGGCCATCGAATTGAATTTCAACCCGATCGTCATGTTTCCTCGGATTTGACAGGGCCTTGACAGTAGTCCAAAGCTTGCCTACAACGGTGGAGAGGTTGCATGACTTTAGGTTCTGTATATTTTGTCCGCTTATGATGATTTACTATTTGCCGAGTCTCCAAATGTTGATCCCTTACTCGGGGATCCAGGGATCGGCATGACGTAATCGTATCGGTAGTGCGTTGATGGTGCTCTCGGTAAATTCTATGAAGCCAACCCAGTTAGCTTTGTTAAAGTTAATAAAGTTCCGGTTGTCCACGGAAATAAAGTCGGGAGGTTTCTCGATCGAGATAAGGAGGATAAGGAGTCGCGTATGTAGCGGGTTTCCAGTTGTGATCCTAGGGGTGAGGGAGGTGCGTGTAGGTGGTGGTTGTTGCAGCTGTAATATTCGCATACCCGTTTGTCGCACTGTGGTGTTGATTGTCGACGCCACTGTATGTGATTGCGGGGCCAGACTCCTACAGCACGGGGCAACATACGACGCACTCCACTCACGTGTGGTGCGCAGACCGGAACACGACAGAAAGTGATACCAATAAAAGAATTGCACTTGACTGATGTGACGTTCCGGCGTATTACGGCCTGACACACGGAAGAGACTGTGCGAGGAACCAGCAGTTGCTAGGTGGTTCTCGCACGAGGATTGGAGCGGAGTCATACTGCCTGTGTGAGCTCCTTAGGGCCGTAGAGGTCCTATCTTGGCCACTCGACTGTAGTGGCGGCGCAGTGCGCGAACATGGTGCAGGTTGCACAGCCATTGAGGCAGGTGTCGCACTATTGCGTTGGCAGCATGGGGCCACGTAACTCGTGGTCCACTCCCTATGGGTCTTAAGGTCTGAGCAGGTCTTAAGAAGGCTACATCCATTGCATGTATTGCACCTAACCGAGGTGGAGTTTGGATGGAGCCTTCTAGCGCAAACGCACTGCATCCCACTTTTCTTGCTATCTCGCGAACTGACACTCGTTCTTTTTCCAACTTAAAAATAACCACTTTTGGATCACGAGTCAACTGCCTATATTTAGAGCACATTATTCTAAAGAGAACGGTTCTTTATTGTAAATGTGCCACGAATAAATGAAGTTTATTTGTCAGTATTTTATATTTCAATTTCAAATAACCCAAATTGCTTACATCAAAAAAAAAGTAAATATTTAAAATTGTATTGAAAAATAGCGTTACAATTTCATTTAAAATGCCAATTCATTTGAAAAGCTCTGTGGTAATATTTACGTGGCCACTGGTGTATGTGTCAGTGTGCAGCTACACTCGGCGAAAAAACTCACGCACTTTACAGAGTGGCAAAATTTCGGTTCATGTTATCTTAAGTTAGACAGTCTTTTTTGAGAGCCAACCCTTTTTAATCACTTCATGTTTAAAGCTTTTTTATATAAGAAACTTATAGAACCACAGAACTAAAATTTGTTATGAACAATAATACAATTTTTAAACAAGTTATTTACATATTTTACGTTTTATATGTTTTGCATTTAAAAATAGAATACTATAGTATTCTTAGTATTATATTTTGTAGAACAATAACCTCGGCTATTCGTTTAGGCATGTATTCAAACCAGCGTTGAAAATAATTTTTATTAATCTCTTCATACCAAACAGCTTCAATAATTTTTCCATTTCTTTAAGACTTTTTGGACGCTTTTCCCTTATCCTTTTGTCGATATAATGCCAGCAGTCCTCAATTGGATTGAGATCTGGACTGTTTCCTGGCCACGTGAGAGACTCAATTCCATAAAAAAATTTATGGTTTGTAACCTGTAAGTGTTTGTAATGAATTATTGAAAAATCTATTTCAATATTTTTATGCTTTAGTTACCGTTTTGACTCTATGGCAACAATCATCCTGAAAATAAACGGCTGTTCAATAGTTAGTAAAATGCCTTATTTCAAAATTTCAATATATTTTTCGGCATTCACAGATCCCTTAAGAATAATAAGCTGCCCACCACAAAACTTGGTTATTGCCTCCCATACCATTAAATAGGGCGAATGGTTTACAGTGGGTAAAACCAGAGAATGTTGAAGAATAGAGAAGGAGCAAATGTTAGCAGTACTAAAATGTTAATTACGATGGAGGAACATCGAAAACGCGCAAGTTCGAAAATAAAATGTCACCACACCTGTCAATTTACGCAACGAACTACACCACTCTATAAGCAAAATGTATATACATACATATGCAGAGATGTTTTTTGATATGCGCATAAACAAAACTTAAAATAATAAAAAGGAAAATAATTGACTTATGAAAAAGAATGTAAATAATGAGGGAAATAAAATGAAAATAGAATTAAAATATCATTTAATAAAAAAGGGTTATAAAAATAAAAAAAGAGTATAAAAAAATATCTGATAGGATTTGAACTTAGATATAATATATATATTAAATATTTCATATTATAGCAATAAGGAAGGTGCTTATAAGCAGCACTCATAGATAACTTGCTTTAAAATAGTTCAATATGTGAATTCAAACATCAATAATTTTATTTGTTCAAATGACTAATTTGTATGTATGTGAATATTCTATTGATATGAATAATCAATCGTATGATAGAATCTGACGAAAGAGAGTATGCAATTGGATTGGTCATATTTTAACACAAAATAGAAATACAGCCACATTTGCGTGAAATTGCGCCAAAAAGGAAGAGAAAACTAATAAATGCAAATCAGAAAATAGTTGTGAATTGGTTTGAAATTGTGACTAAATAGAAAAGGGAGAAAATGAAATTTCAATACAGAATCAAATGTGCATATGTACTCCAAGTATATACATATGTAGGATATATTATATGTTTAATAAATAAATATAAATAGTAGTAAAGTATTTAAAATATAGTTTAAAAAGGAATATAAATTAAAATGTAAAATATAAATTATAAAATTTTGGCATGTGGTGGATTTGACCATTGGCAAATTGCAAAATTCTACTAGGATCAGAAGATTCATTAGAGAAGAGATTCGCTCTATTGATGGGATTCCTTTTCATTCCCCAAGATGAGAGATCGATTGCCTTCAACAGCTGGGTTTTAGCATTAAAATAAGTGCATCATACCTGACCATAAAGGTTTGTCAGACTGTCATTTGATGCAAATTATGTCACAAATATGACTACATGAGCCATAGCAATACGCAACTGAACGCCCACTTGCAG